GCACACTAATAACAGACCGGTGAACGTGGAAATCCAAGACACAAAGGCTCCCCTGTCTTCGATGGCAGCCATTTTCTCTCATGTCGCCCCTGGCGGCGAACAGTGTTACTACGCGGCCGCGAAGTATACGAACATAAACTTGCGAGAGTTTCTCTTTCCATCGGTACCAATTTTGTGCATCTGAATTTCATTAGACGTAACATGAAATTAACCTTCAGGGCTGTATACTGACAGACATTGATGACTACTGTTGTAGTAAATTCAGAAAATTAAAAAATCCATCGTCATGAGACGGGCAGAAGTCTGTACGTTCTTGGCCACAGAACTTCATGACCGTCTTGCGCATGCGCAAATCCTGTGCTGCAACCTTGTTTACCAAATAAACACGTGTTCAATGAAACGTAAGCCAATTTCAAGAGACTGAAGACGATTGTCCGATTCTCAAGTGTGACTTAGCAGCGGCCATTTTAATTTATGGAGTACATTTAAGGGAAAGGGACACAAATCGCATTTCTAATGAAAACTCAAACGTAATACGTAACACGAATAATAACAGAAACGAGCGGCCGTCATTTGAGGTGGCATTCGACACTTTGAATGAACGACGCTGGGCGTCGCAGAGCGCTGAGAGAAGTTTCTTTATCCTAGGGAAAACTCTCCTGTGCAGGTCTGGATACAACAGCGAGAAAAATGCTGCTAATCATTGTGCTGAGGTATTCCGGTTTATTGCAGTCATCGCTACAAAGAGATGGGCAGGACGTGTAGCACGTATCAGAAATTCATTCAAAATTTCGTCCGAGAAACACCTTGAAAGATACAGACGAAAGTGGGAGGATTCGATAGAAATGGATTTAAATTAAATAAGGTGTGGACCAGATCCATCTAACTCACGGCAGAGGTCAGTGACCTTGTGAATACGGTGATGAACCACGATATCCGCAAGAGGTGGGGAATTTTAAGACCATCTGAGCGATCATAGGCTGCACTAGAAGAATGTTTCTCCGTAAAATTAGGACCTGTTAAGAGGCTGTTCCCCAACTTTTTGGCATCGTGAGAAACTTTGATGGTAGGGACTGAGTAAGACCAGGAGAGAGACGCGACCGTGGTGTCACTCCTGCAGGCTAGAAGTGCAATGCCGCTGTTTAACACAATTTACAGTATCACCCGGGAGGAATACAATCTAGACACTTAAGCAGATGATTAATACGATACAAATTGGTGTTAATGCGAGTCTGTTGTCAAGTAATCGACACTCCTGCTGCACTAATGAGCTGCACATTGTTCGCAGGGTGAGGGCGTGGCTTTAATCTCTTTTTTGTTATTAATTACGTGATGTTGCAATTCTCCGGGCTATCCTGAACTTGAATCGTGTTCCTCCTCCGAGACCAGTCGCCAGACATGGTTGTGGGTGTCGCTACTAATTATTAAGATCATTATTTAAATCAGGCCATCACGAAGTGAGCAGCATATGGAATGGACATGCCTACTTCGGGCTTTTACCGCGGCACTGATGTACTCGTAACACCAGAGGTCACGTGATGGACGTGCATTGGGGCAGAGCCATGTTCTGAGAGGAAGTTGGACTAATGAAATCGCGTTGTAAAATCAATTTTACAGACCTGCATTCAAGACAAGTGCTTGAACAAAGTGTTAAAGAATGCACGGTCGTTGCCTTCCTCGAATGAAGAAAAAATATGCAAAAATCAATGTGTAACTCGTCGGTAATTATATCGAAAAATAATGCAAATTTCATTACTGCAGACCTCAAAATAAAACGGATTTCCTCCGACAAAATATCTCCACACAAACCACAAAGACCATTCACCATCTACAAACATCTATTACCGCGTTCAGAATAACTCGCCGCCAGATCTAATCTTGGCCCAGTTTAATCCACTCCACTCCTTCGTATTATAGCATCTGGGAATCTGGTGTCACTGCGTTTAGCATGATGTGGCTTCCGTGAACACGTTTTCACACCTAATTCACTCACCGCTCTGATGATGGAGGCAGTGCACACCTCCGAAACGTCAGTATTTTCTACCACATTACACGGCGCGGCGTCACACTGGACCTGTGTCTCAGTCATACAAAGAGTTTTGTTTTCAGCGCAACCGTGGGAGAACCGTGAGTCATTACCGTCGAGTTTGCGCTGAAATATGAACTCCCTGTAGTCCTGCGTCCACATACGATTCGCGACATTCCGATCACAAGAGCAGATACGTGGAAGGCCCGGCTACTTTGACGTGTGTTATGAGTCTCGATTTATTCCTTTGTTCTGTAACAACTCAATCCGAAGTCGTAATATTCTTCCCGTGACTCTGCTTAGGGCACAATAGTTGCAGCAATATATCAGAAGAACCACAATATCATTTAATGTCATTAGACGTAATGAAAAGTTGCCTTCGCGCCGAGATACAGACTGAAAAGAGGTTACGATAACGACTTTCTTAACGAACTTCTCATTCTCAAGATGCATCAGCCTCTGAAGCTCCATTCATCTGATCTCGAACGCCATCCTATTTACTTTCAATGCAAGTTGCACCGAGGTTACGAATACGCGGAAGTTCACCTCCAACCCTCCATACGTCTTCACGGTGAGGTGCTTAATTAAACAGCATCTGACAACGTCTCAATACCGAGGTGATTTAATCATGGCTGTTTTTTGTTCAGACTTAAGTTACTTTTAAGTTAATGGCCTGTGTAAGACTGGCCGAACCCAGACGCAGACTTGTAACTTATCGGGACGCGGTCTATTCCTTTAAAAAAACATGTAAAACGACATATCTGGTCATAACTATGTCCAAGTAGGTTTTGATGTTCTCGTGGCAGTGACTACAAAGAAGATTACCAATATAAAATATGCATACAAACAAAACTGTTTACACTATGAAGCACACTGATGCCAAACGCGCTTCGACCTAGAAGAGATCTTCTTCATTACGCCGTCTCCTTTACAGGAGGTCGGCGACATATTATGAACAGGATCCTTCCATCCTTTTCTCTTCTCGGCCTGGGACCTGTTCATATACGTTCTTGGCAGATGATCCAGAAGTGGTTTGCCATTGCCTTCTTCTGTGTGTGAATGGAGTAATTGTTGGGATGCCACGGAGGAAAACTCCGCGTTGCCTAGACCACGGCCTTGCCCAACACAAGTTATAAATTCGGGCACCGCCGGGAATCGAACCCGAGACCCCCAGGATTACAAGGCCAGCGTTCTAACCGCTAGACCACCGTACTGATTCAAAAGTATAAATTTGTTAGCTAAACCAAGCGCGTATAATAAAGTGTAATCGGACGTAGTTGAATACGACGGTAACTGAGAAGGTTGTTATGATTAACTGGACCACCTGATGAGAAGGCACTGCTTTTCAGCTCACAACCTCTCTGAGGACGACCCAGTTATGTCCGCGCCAGGGTACACAGGGGAAAAATATCTGAGACTGACTTCAGTTGAGTATTGCTGGTTTGTAAATAAGAGAATTCTGACAGAAAAGCTGCTTATTAATCCTTACACAGCCCACGGCATGATACTGAAACGTAAGAACACTGTCCTGAGTGTAAGAACCGTGGCTTTTGAGTACGGACTAAACTTTGGATGAAGTCTCATGGTGGGATGTGATGCCGTGGTTCCGACCTCAACTTTGAATATTACACCAAGTTTTAGAAACGATACTCCGGCGACAGACGCGTGGGTATTGGGTGATTTACACTTTGGGGGGGGGTTGGGGGGGGGGGGGGGTGTTGTTAGGTTTGTGAGTTTGACATCAGTTGACTTTCAAATGTTAATGTTTCGGTCTCAAGACGTGCTGGCAGTCCTGAAGAACTGCTGAGCTCGGTTGCACTTAACAGCAATCCAATTACGCTCCACAGTTTCAGGCAAAATATTCTTTGAGAAGCTGACAGTCACTCAGACAGTCAATTCCTCGCCATTTACAGACAGAAGGGTTCACAAAAATCCGTCACAGGTCACAATCCTGAACAAGACGAATCCGATCCACACCCCATTTGTGTAAAATTCGTTTCGATACTATCCCCCGACGAGTGTCCTGATCTTCTGAGAGATCTGTTCCTCTCAGACTTTCCAGTCAGAATTTCAAACGCACTTCTCACTTCTCCGCATGTCCTAAATGCCCCGCCCCCTGTGGACGGATAATCGTGAACTCCAAGGTCGCAAGATTTGGTTCCAGTGCCAGTGAACATAAAAGAGCTTCGTTAAGAGAGAATTTTGTAACTCAAGTGGCGCCCTCCTGCGTGCTACGTACGACGTCAGCTCCGGTGGAAAAACACAGCGCTGTTGCCAGCAGAAATGATCGCCGGACGACCCACTGGCAACGCGACTGGAAAACACGTGTCGGCCAATAATTTTGCGAGGACAGCGCCGAGCGCTGATTAAAGGGATAATTAAATCGCGACTCCGCCACAGTTGTTTATGAAGTAACGTCATTTGCATTATTAGTGCTACGTGATACAACTTCGGAACAAGTGAACATCTCGGGCTGAATTCTGCACTTGGAAATACATAAACACGTGACAGAATTAAAACATTTCACGGTGCTACGGTCAGGTACAGCGATGTAGCGCGCCATCTTAGTTATAAAACACCTAAGAACACAGAGGTCCCTGTCGCCCTCAAGATTTTATGTCGTTCTGTATTTCAAATGAATCGACAGACATGGATTTGATGTGCAACATTCTCTGCTACGTCAGCGTTGACTTAGGCGTTACATATATACAGGGTGATTCAAAAATGTTAGGGCACAAACTGAAGGAGCGTATAGAGGGACTCAGAGAGAACAACTTTCGAATAGGAATCCGTGTCCTCCGAAGTTATCCTGAGCCATTGAAGTTAGGAAAGTCTGATAACATTTCGCTGAAATAATTTGGTTTGTAAGATTGCTAATGTAATCCTTGAACATTAATAAAAAAAACAAAATTAAGCTAGTAGGAGAACAGCAAAGTACGATTACGCTGAGTTAACGTGGTGGCGGAGTACTCACCTGCGTCGCCTCGTCTTCCAGAGCGCGCACCCTGGCCAAGTCTCGCAGCCGCTCCCGGCGTCCTTCCGCCAACTGCTCCAGTCGACGCGCGGCGCGGTCCACCTCAACGAACAGACGCCGCGCCCTCTCAGCAGACAGCCTAAAAGTGACAACAGCCTTTGTTCAGCGAACGCTACTCGGGCGATCGGTATACAGTCACACCAATACCTGATGATGGCAGCACAAACAGGCTCCGAAACACTAAAATCGCTCCATACTGACAAGGTTGATTGTTCGACAAAGCTTTCTTTCGCCCTGAGGGTAACTCCCCACAACATCAAGGGGGGAAAAAACATGTTTGAAACTATCATTCTGGTAAATTAGTAATGTTTGTGAGCGGAAATTCTGAATGAGGTTAGGGTTTCTATGGTGGTGAAAACACGGACTGTCGTGTTTGTTGTGATGCAGATGGGCGTTTCATGGGAAAGAATCGCCTCCAGCTTAATTTCTACACTGAAGATGGAAGTCATATGTTGGTTTAAAATGCTGAAAATAACCTACAAAATTCCATGTTATCACAACCCAAAAATCCACAATCCGCGTCCCCAAAACGATTTCACTGATATGCCCAAATCTATTCCCTGAACAGTCCTTAAAACAGTCCGTAACAACCACATGCCACGTCTTCGTAATCTAGAGCACGGGTTCTCAAAAGTTTTGCCTCGTAAACCTGATGAGTTTTTTAAAAAAAGTCTGGCAACCTACACAAAAGAAAATTTTACGATAAACAGCGTACGTTTTTATTGCAGACAGAAAATAAACTATATAGTACAGCCCGGTTATATTGATTTTAGATGCGAAAGTACGTTAACAAATACCACGCTCCATAAAGGTCAATTAGTTTAATTACTCCTGCATGTACGTACTTAAATGAAGATTTATTGTGCACAAAGGGGTATTGGTGCCACAGTTTGAGAACCCCTGATCCACACTACATATTCAAGGAACGTCGAAGTCGACTGCATCGCATTCGGGGCGTCTCCGGTAGAAATCTAAACCCCGGAGACCGACTGTCCTGGGGTTTTCCGTGCTTCCCCTCAGCACTTCCATGTACGTGACGGAAGTCAGTACCTTACATTACGTCATGTCTAATGATTATTCGTAACAATTTAATTAATAATCGTCCTACATTCAACGCTATGTAATGCGGGATACTCAAAGAATCGTTAAATAAGATGTGAGAACCTCAAGTCTTACAAGATAAGAATAAACAAATATATATTCATTATCATGGGTTATTAAACGTAAAATAGCGCGCACAGTTGGTGCAACATACTTAAATATCCCTAGACTCTATAAGTTTTTAAAGACGAATGTACTGAAAAGTCTGGGCGCCGTGCAAAAGAGCCAATGAACCAATTTCGTACGAGATGTGACGAACAAATCCCTTTGATTATATTCGTTGTTACATAGGCCACTTATTCAGAATCGCAAGCTCCTCACTGCCCCACGGTTTACGTCTTGACATCGGCTGGACACATACGAGCCCAAACGTCATTTCAGAATCGAATAGTGCCTGCCAACACCCACCTGCTGGGTAATCTCCTGACCTACTTTCAGTTACATGACACTCCATGAAGCACACGCTATGGTAAGCTGATAGTCGTTCAACTGGTTAAGACAGCAATTCACTTCGTCTCTCTTTCATCCAAACATTCTCGTCTCTCCGTTCTCAAATATATCCTTAATGTTTGTTCTTTCATCGATGTCTAAGGTCAAATTTCGCACCCACCCACAAAACAAGGGATAATTGTTAAAATTTCGTCAGCTTGTTTATCAGTGTTTCCGTTTTTAGATAGTAAGACGGGAAAAAAAATGTCTCCACACGTCCCGTACAAATATTTGCGGTCCAAATAACTGCAACTCGGATTCCCACTACAGCGTCTCTTAGCCGCCGGAAACCGCACAGAAGCCCAGACGTCCTCTTATCAAGCTACAGCCTCGTATTTCATCTGGGCGGGGGCGGGGGGGGACAATGGCTACTTTGTTAGTGTAGAATCCACTATCAGCAGCGCACACAGCCTGCATGTGAGAACATTCAGCAGATTCAAACTGTGGTCTGCGGGCACACGAGCGGATTTCAACATTCGACATTTAAAATTGGGCGTAACTTTTTTTTATGAGAAAGAATCTTCCTGAACGAAAGATTCACTGCACTTTGAGCTGAACTGATACAACAAGATTTTGGTTTAAGAACGCGATAGTTTTAGAAACTTTGCTTACATCAGGCGTACCAACATGCTCATTACGGAGTCCTGAAAGTACCGTTGTTCTAGAAGAATTTTGAGATATGGCCAAATTACTGAATTTGTATTCTCCTTTGAACTCATCTGTCACTTATCTTGAAAACCGCGTTTCAGATCTATCGGGCCAACGTTAAACTAGTTGGTTCTGTACAATCTACGTTTACAGCTGCGCCAAGATACGTAGCAACTGTAAACAAAAAGTTCCTCATAAAAATAATCGTATTTATTATTACTTACTTGGCATGAAAGCATTTGTAGTTCTTTCGAAAAAGTTACTTTGCAAAAACCTCGCATGTTTAATTCGCTGGTCTCTATTTATGTAACTCGTCCAAGGAGTCTAATAGATCAAAGCCAACGCAAAGTTGGGGCCCCGCAGATGCTCAAGGCACTTGAAGAACGGGTCGCCTAAGTATTTACGTAGTATATAAAAAGAGGGCGATATTTCAGACCATTCGAA